TGACTGTAGTTATCTCTGGAAGATGGGATTGTTGAGAGTTTTTTACCTTTTCTTATCTCTTTCCTGTAACAGATACGTTTAAATCAGAAAAAGAAAAAAACTAAGGTTAAGACTATATATTTAAGCATTACATACTGAATGAATGCTAAGAGACTTAGATTGTATTCTGATTGTGAATGAAAATTGTTGAAGAATTTGAAGCACTGGATTGACATGTCATAGACAAATCCTTGAAGCAACCTGGGTACAAAAGTTCACAGCCTAAACAACTTGAGGGCATCTGAAAACTGCTTCAAGTACATGACTGAATAGCATAAACAAGTGATTGCATACTTATTCTGCATTATTTTAGACAAATTTGAACCCTTAAGTGCAGATACAATCAGATTTTGAAATGTTACAAATGTTAAGATCGATCTATCAAACCATGAGCTCTTCAATGATACATGACTAGTTATCAGGGGTATTTTAGCAAAATGGAAGTTTGCGTCACAGGCAATGTGGTGAAGTGGGTTTGTAGTAGTAGACTTGGATCTGATTGCCAACTCCAACATTTGGTAGCTGTTATTTACTCAAAGCATGTCAGTTTAACCTCTAAACCTCAGCTTTCTCTTCTATAATATGAAGTAAACATCTACCCTGCAGAATTATTGTAATGATTAATGCAAATGCATGACCTGGCGTTGTTATTATCATATACTCACTATTACTTGAAGACCCAATGATTCTATGATTAAAAGTAATAACATGATTTAAATTAGCATAGCAGGATAACAGAAATAAAAAGTATCACATCTGGAAAACTAGTCTTTCATTATCTGTATACAGACTGGTAATACCTGGCAACATATCCTGTTCTTTCCCCAAATCAAGATCAGCACTGTTGCTCTGCCCAGGCAAAGAAACAGAACATAAGAAGAGGACAACACAGAAGACAGTAGAAGGTAGAGCAGAATAAACATCTGAGCCCCAGACTGGAAATCAATACTGCTGTGCCATTACTCAGGTAAAGAAATTTCAACAAAAGAGGAAATCAATGTATCAGAGCTATTAGGATTTCTAGTTAAGACTACCTTCCTTATTCACAGGAGATTTGACTAGCTCAAACTGGTGCTTAATAAGTACTCATCAACTGATACGTATACATTTTACTTCCTAATCTAATGGTAAGCTGAATACCGAGATACTACTGTAAAAGTTGGCTGGATCATCAAACATGTTTGTTAACTCTGTTCCTGAATTAAGAGGTATCAATTCCATTATATGAGTATTATGAAATCAGAAATCTTGCCAGGAATATCCCAGGCCCCTCCCACTCATCCATCCCCTACTTTCAAGCATTTAGGGAAGAAATAAACCATTCATTTACAACTGCTTGCATAAAGAAAACAGTATGCTGATTAAATATGAGGAAGACTAGAATGTACCACCATGAAGGCAGGGACTTTTGTCTTTACTATTTACTGTTGTCTCTAGTCTACAGTACCTAGAACCATATCTGACACACAGTTGTTGCTTAATAAATACTTGCTGAAAGAACGAATGAATCATTCTTTGAAGAAATAATTTTGGGCAACCTAAACAAAATAATTTTCAACACTGAACTTTTTCTTAAGGCTTTGGAAGCGTCCTATTATTTTACATAACATTTTTCCCAGCTACTTTCATAGAAGAATATCTCAAAAGAAAATTTCTTTTAGATTATAAAATTGACTACATTGCCCTAATTGAGCCAAAAGTAGACAACCTTAGAAAAAATTTTCTACAAAACCCTGTTGCAATATAATTTTATTAGCAGTTATTACATCAAGATTCACATTTAGAGGATGCAAAGGACTGTCTTAGAAAATTCTAAAACGTACGTAATTAGATTTTAACAATAAGGTAGAACTTATTCTCATCATAGCACAGCCCTTAAAAAGCTAATACTTAATTCACTACTGAGAATTAAGTGCAGTTTTATCAAGAACTAAAAACGAACTCTGCGTGAACAGTGTCACTTAAAGCAAAGTTCCATGACAATGTAACACAGTTCTAAGAATGTGAATATCAGTGGCAAACATCACCGGCTTCCAATCAACTGACAATGAAGGCATGTTCCATCAAAGCGCGAGTGCAGCGGCTCTCATTCAATGCAGAGCTGTGATCATTCTATGAGGCCCTGAATCCCTAAGTACTTGGAATATGATTTTACACTGTTGACACCAGTACGAAACGCATCGACTGAAATGCATAGATTGTAACACATTATAACAACACGATACTAAGGAAAGCCTTTTTCTAAACCAGAAAATGCTGTTTTATCCAGTGCGATATAGGGTGGTCACTGCTGATCCACTGAAATTCTACGTCCTCCAGCTTGCGCAGTATTGTAGGAGTCACAAAGCTTACACTTCATGCCTAATATATGGAACTGAACTGTGGACCGTCCGTTACAGTCATTGCAGTGAATCTGAAAAATGAAGAGATAAATTCCGATTAAGGATTTTAAACCTTATAGATACAAGTAGCATTATCTGTTCATAACAATCCCTTCAAAATCATATTAAAGATGTGAAAATACATATGTCTAAACATTTCCATAAGTAGAAATATTTTTTATTTTTTCACTGAAAACTCTGAAGAGGCTATTAATGTTAGTTTTGAATTTAGAAAATGAAAATGCAGATTTGAGTAAAAGAGGCTTATTTTAAGGTATTAATAGTTCTCAAATAGTACAAATAGTACAAACAAGAAAAATAACCTGGGCATAATCAGATCAACATCTAATACTTAAAATTCGAAATAACATACATGATTTAATTATTTGTCATTAACACTTAAAAATTTATCTTACTCAACAAAACTGAAGTTTTTATACAAATAATATTTTTACTTATCTTTTAGGTTTAATATATACTAAGTTCCCTGTCTCCTATGCCTGAGGAATGAATGAAAATCCATAAAGAACAGTTCCTTAAATTGAGTAAAGAGAAAGAGAGGCTCTTGACTCATCCCTAAAATGACAGTAAGATGCCAGTTAAGAATTAATCTCTTCTAGTGCTAAGTGAGATCCTGAAAAATGAAAAGGTGTTAACCTGAAAATAAATCAACACATTACTATGCAAGAAAAGCATTAGCTTTAGAAATTTCCAAATTTGCTCTAAATTATTATTTGGAAAATAATTCCTTTAAAGATATGATCTAAATGCAGAAAGATTAGTGACTGCCTAAGCCAGGGGGTGGTGGGAAGTGACTGCTAATGGGTATGGGATTTCCTTTTGGGGTGATGAACATGTTCTAAAATTCTGGTGATGTCTGTGTAACTACATGAATGTACTAAAAAGAACAGAATTATATACTTTTAAATGAATGAGTTGCACGTGAATTATATCTTAATAAAGCTATTTTGTCAAAAAATTATCTACATGGAACACAGCACAATTTAGCTTCTAGTAAAACATCACATGATTATCAGTATTATGAAAGTTATCTTTCATTGCCCTTACTAACAATTATCCACATGAATTATGAAACACTCCAATGTAAATAAAATAAAAAATAATTTTATTTGGCTTGTTATGTAGTTTTTATACATGTATGTACAAGTATTTGAATATGTTCAGAAAATTTATAGTATGTCCAAAAATTATTAAAGCACCAGAAAGCTAGCTTTCCCATTCTGATTTGTAACTCAGTACTGTGCTGAGAAGAGATAGTAACATATCTCAATGAATGGAAAGAAGATAATCATTCCCTATAAGACAAAAGGCATACACCTTAGGTTGTAGGCTAATTAAGACCAAATAAAGTCTAAGATAGAATAAAAAGGGTAATTAACATTAAAAACCAAAAAGTAATCTTCAAAAACCAGCAAACATGTTCTCTTGAAACAAAATTTAAAATAATTAAAAATAAAACATAATTAAAACATCACACTAGTGATCCACCTCTAGTCAGTTCTATTACTGACTGACTCTTACTAGCAATGAGTAAATAATTCAGAATAAAGTTTTCGCCTGCCATCTAGTGTTGGGAAAAACTGCATGAAGGTATCCTTAGGACCATTTTCCTGGTCTGAACTCAACTAAAATTTAAACATCATTTTGTCCTTCCCATTAATCATTACATTGGCATCTATGTCAAAGCAGCATTTTTTAGACAAATTTGAGCAAAAGAGCAAAACTAAATGTCAGTAAGGAACCTGAAAAGTTTTGAGCACTGATTGCACTCACATCCACAGTCATGTTCTGATACTCTGATGGCATAGGGGTCTGTGCTACCTCATCATCCAGCTGTCGCCAATACCTCGTCATATCTAAAGCAGAGTGCATACACAATGGACACCTGTAGCCTCTAGAAGAGACAGAAAGGTTATTTTTCAAACATTAAATGGAGAGTAAATCAACTCAGGTATACAAGAAGATGGCACATAAACCATCCAAGACAGGGCATTATCCTTTATTTCAAGACAATCTCTCTCTCTAGGAATCTTTATCCTATAAAAGTATTAAAATGAATTCTATATCTTATGGTATTTTTCAAACCTAAGTCTTCTTCCTCAGTTCTCCAAAATGGAGAGGTATTAGTTCACATTCTTTGTACACTATACTTCATATATTTTTAAAAACCAATTAAGCTACTCCTTATCTAAACAACCTTAATTTCTTAATATATTCATGCAAAGATGCAAAGAAGAGATTGTATTCCTCAAAAATTATTCAGATCATATTATTTCCTTTCTAAAAATTTGAAAAAGTTCCCCTCTATCTGGCTTTCATATTAAGTTATAATTTCTGCTCATCAATTTGCAGAACGAAAATACATTTATACAATCTCCTCTTTCCTAACTACTCTCATCTCATTTTTAACAACCTTTCCCACAGTAAAGTCTCCACTTCAGACAATCTCTTCACCAACTTTCTTTGCAGTTCATTATATTAGGTTAGTATGACAACCTAACAAAATTTGGAGCAACGTTACTGGGAATTTTGACAACACTGTAACTGCCTCTGGCGGAGACTGTTCTCCTTGGTAAGTATGGCCAGAAAACAAGAGATATCTAATTGTGGGAGGAGATACGGCTTTACAGAAACACAGGGATAAACGTGTAGTTCTGTATTAAGATGCTCTGTCCAATTTAACACCACATCTACTCTACCCATTTCAATATAAGCATCTGCCATGCCCAATACAGTGTAAGTAGCAATAGTTGCCCACCTCCCCACCCCTACACACAAAAAACCAGACATCTTACAATCATAATTTTTTAAAATACCATCAAATACTCACTTTTTCAACATTTCTTCATAACACGTTCTGAAAGAAAATATAACATTATTTTAGTACAACAAAAACTATCTCCACTATTTTTAAACATCTTTGAGGGGAAAAAAAGTTACTTTACCTATGTAAAAGATGTCCACATGGCAAGACGTGAGCAACAACACGAGATGTGTGAATGTCCTGTAAAGACAATAAAGGTGAGTGCTCACATGAGGACGATAAAGTATCCAAGTATTTCAGATTCGAGAGAGATTTCCAAAGTAAAAACTATCTTAAGCTTACCTCCAAACATATTGGGCAATTCTGCCGGGAAACATTTTCAATACACTGGTTAAAAGAGAAACTCACATTAACAAAAGTTTAACTCGGTGAAAACATCAGCTGTAATAGTAGTATTAATAAAAACAATACAACCAACTTACAAAAGATAATAGTTAACATTAATACATGCTTCCTATACATCAGAAAGGAGTTTATTAGTTTTTTAATTATCACAACTATTTCAGGCTTGGCACATTACCTGAAACAATGAAAATGCTCAAAAAAACTTTAATTATTCAGGTTATCTTCATTTTACGGGTAAGAAAAGTGACCTAGGGGGTCTTGGGATCAGGGACAAGATGTCAGACGAGAAAAACCGCAAGACAGAGTGTCTCTGCAAGAAAGGCAGATTTTAGAAGAAAGTGAAAAAAAATAAACAGGCAGACAAACAGACCAGACGAGGGTCGGAAGGAAGATGCCTGAAACCACAGGAGACTCCACGGGAAGACGTTTCAGAGGAGAACCGGAAAGAGAAAGGCCCTGAGAGGCTTGGAGACCAGCGACGAGGGTAGGTGGAGCGGTGAAATTCCCCCTGCCTTGCATCTCGGACTGCCGGTGGGCTCCTGAGCTGCTGGAGAGACCGGCCAACACCAGCCCAGAGATGGCCGCCACCAGGGAGCCGTGAGTCTCCTGTGGACAGGCGCCGGGCTCCCAGCTCCCTCAGGGCACCTCCCCCGTGCATACCCGAGCTGATCGGCAGGCGCCATACTGCTTCATTCTCCCCTTCCCTACCCACGGCTGTGAGAGAAACAATTTAGCCACCACCCAGAGGCATCTGCAGGGAACGGGACCTTTCCTTTTGGGGCCCTGCAGAGGACTGAGGAGTACTCAGACTGTGAGCTCCCTACCCACCAGCCCTCCCAGGCACCGCCTGCCTGGACTCCAGCAGAGAGGGAAAAATCCTGAGGCAGAGAGACATTGATCCAGCTTGGGCACCCCGTGGGTGACTTGAGACCAGCACTCCTCTCCCTGGCAGGGTTAGGGATTGATCTCCAGGGCCCAGGGGATAGGCTTACAGACCAGATCCCATACACCCAGGTCTCGATCGCATTGCCCTGGGGACACAGAAGGGATATCTGTGAACGAGCCTACTGAGGTGTATGTGCCTTCTACTGAGGTGTGTGTGCCTTCAAGGGCACATCAGCGTGCTTGAGGGGCAACCCTCCTCCCAAGGGAAGGCCGTGTGCCCAGCCCTGGCTGCGATCCTGGGCAGGGACCCTCTAGGGCTGCATCGCAGCCAGGGGAGATCCGCTGGTTGGAGGTCCTGCCTGCTGGCAGAGGCCTGGGAGAAACCGCGGAATAGAGGAAGGTGAGAGGGAGCAAAGCCTGCTCCAGACTACAGGTCTCAGACAGCCCCAACCCCACACACAGACTTTTTGGATGAGTGGGGCCATTTCAGCCCCTCCCTGGCAGCTTTGTTCAGAAACAGAGAAGAGACCTTTGACCCCTGTTAACAGTATTTGTGGAGCTTGAGGGCAGGCTCACACAACCGGCTCTGCCCAGACTCACTCCCCCTACCTGCCCCTCACTGAGGTGGAGAATAAGACACACCTGGAAGTGCCAGGGCCCCGCCCACCACCTGAGGCACTAGAGGGCCTCTCCAGAGGAACAAGAGCTGGTTACGGGACCCAAAAGCAACACTGCAGCGTGCTCCTCCCAGCAAGCGTCACCTACTGACACAGAGGTCATTCTGCATACCCTTTTACTGCATCTACTGACTCATCATACAGGGTGTGGTCGAATCTCACCCACAAACACCACCTACTGGCTGAGAGACTAAACAGGGCGTGACATCATCCAAAGGAAAATCTAAAGGTAAGAAGCTGATCCAGATGGCAAGAACTAAGCGAAAGAACTCTGGAAGTATGAAGAATCAAACAGAAAGCACACCCCCCAAAGGGGAACACCAGCTTTCTAGCAATGGACATCAACCAAATTCAGAACACTAAAATGACAAAAGAAGAATTTCAAACATGGATTGTAAGAAAACTCAATGATATGCAAGAAAAAATGGATAATCGACACAAAGAAACCACAAAAAGAATCCAGGACTTGGAAGAAAAATTCACTAAGGAAATTTAAATATTAAAGAAAAATCAAACCGAACTCCTAGAAATGAAAAATGTATTCAAAGAATTACAAAACACAGTGGAAAGCCTCAAGAACAGGGTAGAACAAACAGAAGAATGAATCTCGGGGATTGAAGATAACACCTTTCAATTAAATAAGTCAGTCACAGAGATAGAGCACAGAAATACAAGAAAAGAACAAAGCCTACAAGAAATGTGGGATTATGTGAAGAAGCCTAACGTCATAATCATAGGCATCCCTGAGGGTGAAGAAGAAAATACACAAGGGTTGGATAAGCTATTTGATATAACAGAGGAAAATTTCCCAGGCCTTACTAAAAATCTAGACATCCAGGTACAAAAAACTCAAAGGACTCCTGGGAGATTCATCGCAAACAGGAATACACCACGACACACAGTCATGACCAAAATAACCACCAAAGAGGTACTCCTATGAGCTGTAAGGCAAAAAAAGCAGGTAACCTGCACAGGAAAACCCATCTGAATAACAGGCAAACTTCTCAGCTGAAACCTTACAAGCAAGAAGAAACTGGGGCCCCATTCTCACTCTTCTCAAACAGAAAAATACCCAGCCTAGAATCTCGTACCCTGCAAAACTAAGTTTTGTAGACAAAGGAGAAATAAAAGACCTTCTCAGATAAGCAAAGACTGAGGGAATTCACCAAGACAAGACCTGCCCTCCAGGAAGTACTCAAAACAGTGTTACACACAGATCAGCACGATAAACACTCAGAAATGTAAAATCACCCAAAAGCTAAAGGTCAAAGGCCAGATACCACAATGACTCAAGAAAGAAAACAAAGCAACAAAGTTCAACTCAACAGGATGAACAGAAATCTGCCCCACTTATCAATTCTCTCAATAAATGTGAATGGCTTGAACTGCCCACTAAAGAGACACAAGCTGGCCAAATGCATAAATATACACAAGCCAAGTATCTGCTGTCTTCAGGAAACACATCTAACCCACAAGGATGCATTCAGACTCAAGGTGAAGGGATGGAAAACAATATTTCAAGCAAACGGAAGCCAAAAGAAAGCTGGTGTGGCAGTTCTGATTTCAGATAACTTAGTCTTCAAATCAACAAAAGTAATAAAAGACAAAGAGGGTCACTATATAATGGTGAAGGGTACAGTTCAACAAGAAGACGTAACAATTCTAAATATTTATGCACCCAACTGAGGTGCACCCAGACCCATAAAGCAAATCCCACTTGATCTCAGCAAAATGATAAAGAGCAACACCATAATAGCCAGAGAGTTCAACACCCCTCTGACAGCACAGGACAGATCCTCCAAACAGAAAATTAACAAAGAAACAATGGACTTAAACAGAACTCTAGAACAAATGGGCTTGACTGACATTTACAGAACATTCTACCCAAAAAACAATGAATATATGTTTTTCTCATCAGCTCATGGGACATTCTCTAAGATTCACCATGTCCTAGGCCACAAAGCATGTCTCAAAAAAGTTTAAAAAATAGAAATTATACCATGCATCTTCTCAGACCACAGTGGAATAAAATGAGAAATCAACTGCAACAGAAACTTTCATCTCTACACAAAGTCATGGAAACTAAACAACCTTCTGCTGAACGACTATTTCATTAAGGAGAAAATCAAGATGGAAATCAAAAGATTCTTTGAACTAAATGACAAAGGAGACACAAGTTATCAAAATCTGTGGGACACAGCTAATGCAGTCCTGACAGGAAAATTCATATCCATAAATGCCTATATCCAAAAGACAGAAAGATCACAAATAAACAATCTAATGAATAGTACTGGAAAATGATGAGCAAATCGACCCCGAACTCAGCAGAAGAAAAGAAAATAACAAAGATCAGAGTAGAATTAAATGCAATTGATAACAAAAAACTATACGGAAGATTAATAAAACAAAAAGTTGGTTCTTCGAAAAAATAAACAAAATTGACATGCCTCTGGCTAGATTAATGAGAAGCAGAAAAGAAAGAACTCTAATAAGCTCCATCAGGAATGAAAAAGGAGAAATTAAAACTGATGCCACAGAAATATAAAATATCATCTATGAATACTATAAAAACCTCTATGCACATAACCTGGAAAATGTGGAGGAAATGGACAAATTCTTAGAGACACACAGCCTCTCTAGGCTTAATCAGGAAGAAACAGAATTCCTGAAGAGACCAATATCAAGTACTGAAATTAAACAGCAATAAAAAAATTTCCTAAAAAGAAAAGTCCCAGACCAACCAGACGGTTTCACACCCAAATTTTACCAGACCTACAAAGAAGAACTAGTGCCTATCCTGCAGAAATTATTCCACAAGATTGAGAAGGAAGGAATCCTCCCCAACACATTTTATGAAGCCAACATCACCCTGATACCAAAAACCAGGAAAGGACGCAACAAAAAAGGAAAACTACAGACCAATATCCCTTATGAATATAGATGCAAAAATTCTCAACAAAATCCTAGCAAACCAAATTCAGGTGCTTATCAAAAAAATAATCCATCACAGCCAAGTGGGCTTCATCCCAGAGATTCAGGGATGGTTCAACATATGCAAATCTATGAACGTAATTCACCACATAAATAGAAGCAAAAACAAAGACCATATGATCCTCTCAACAGATGCAGAAAAAGCATTCAACAAAATTCAACACCCTTTTATGATAAGAATGCTTAACAAAATAGGCATAGACGGGACGAGACTTACCTAAAAATGATACAAGCCATACTGACAAACCCACAGCCAACATCATACTGAATGGGGAAAAACTGAAAGCATTCACTCTTAGAACTGGAACCAGACAAGGTTGCCCTCTATCACTGCTTCTATTCAACATAGTGCTGGAAGTCCTAACCAAAGCAATCAGAAAAGAGAAGCAAATCAAGGG